GTCATGCTCTGCTTCTGTCGCTCTAGTCTAGGAGTCCTGGGGGCCTTTGTCTTTATATCTGTATACTCTCCTCTTGTAGGAGAGAGATACTCAATAATTAATTGAATGAATGAGACCCAGACATGGAACAGAGAATGCATTAAAACCCCTTATATAAGCAACTTTAATGAATTTCCTAAGAAAAAGACTTCTGTATTCTCACAACCTCATCCTTGTTTGTCCTGTCTAGCTTCATTGGAGCTCTGACTTCCTGGAGGACCAAATCTTCTCATAGCCTCCCTCACTGTCTGTCCATGGAGTCCACTGTCTGTCTGAACCATTCCCTTTCTTGCCATTCCATTGATGACCAGTCTGCTCTGGGACCTAAATATAGTGCAGACTAGATTCGTTCTATGTATTAATTATTATGATGTTTGATATTTCTTCTAATTTAAAAATATCAAAGAGGTACAAAGTTAGGATGAATGAGCACAAACAGCAGTGTGACTACTTAGTTAATGCTAAGGTATTGTGTACTTAAAATAACTAAAACAGGATTTTGAATGTTTTTCAATAAATAAGCATTTTACAATAAATAAAGAGTGGGCTGGGGATTTAGCTCAGTGTTGCTACCTCAGAAGCACAAGGTCCTGAGTTCATTCCCCTGTACCAAAGAAAAAAAAAAAAAAAGTAAAAGAAGCAGTAATTGAGGTGATGGATATGCTAATTGCTGTAGTCATTATACAGTACATACATGTACTGAAATATCATATGGTAAAACGTATGTCAATTAAAAATAATATAGAACTTAAAGCATTTTGGGGACCACTAAAGTCCTTGTATGTCCACCCTGAGCCCGCTGTCCTGCCCCACTGTTCCTTGAGTGCACAGTGCCCTTCTGACATTTTTAATTCAGTGTCCCTGCTGCCGGCATTGTCTTCCCCCAGCCCAGCCTTGTCTCCGTCCCACTCTCCCCATCCACCTGACAAATTTCTTCTCTTACTCAGAGTTGTCCAGCCACAATATCATTTTCTCTTGCCAGATTCAGTGACTTAAACTACACAACATCCAATTAAATTTGAACTTCTGAGAGATACCAGATATTTTAGTATAAGCATGTCTCACATCACACTTCCCAAATATTGTAGGAGACATGCTTGTACCAAGAAACTACACGTTTGTCTGAAATTCAGATTTCACTGGAAACCCCTGTGGTTTCTGAGTCTTCTTCCTTCCAGCTCTTCTTCCCACGTGCATCCCCTGCCAAAGAGCTCTAGCATTTTCTGCACACCCTGTCACCATGCATCCTCCTATTCCCATCATCATTACACTCACCTGCCACAGCCCAGGAAGGTGACAGAGTATCAGTTGTTATAGATGAGCAAATGTGTATTTCCCCAACTATGTATTTATTTTCAAGGATGACTTGGCAGCATTTGGTTTTAATTTCATTCAGGACATTGTGTGGCTGAGACTAAAGATAAGTTAACTATTTCATAGGATGATAGTAGCACTTCTGCTAAAAGAGCTGAGTCCTGAGAAGACACGTTGGACCTGACATTTCATTACCTGACCAAAAAATCCAGAGACCCATAGCTGAGACCTGTGGCCCTCCCTGCCATAGCGTGAGCAAATCAGCTGTAGCTGAAGCAGGACTGTCTGTGAGAGAGGGTCTTTCTGCTTTTGAGACTTAGACTCAGGAAATTCTGATTATCTGTCTCTGTCTTGGGAGTGTATGGATTTTTTAAACATTCTTTTCAATCTCCTTCACTCAATGCTTACCACAGCCCAGATGACTCCTTAACATAGGAAAAGCAGCCTGAGGTGATGTAGACATGAACCACAGGAGAGCGTAGGAGCCCAGGTCCAGGCTTCTCATCCGCTACTCTCCCACCACTCTAGCATTTGGAGCTGGACGCCCATGAGGGCAGCCTTTCCCAAGGAGGCGGTGAGTGGTAGCAAGCCCTCAGGACAGAGTCAGGAAGTTTGAAATGACTCAAGCCTAGAAGAATTTTTGGGAAGCATGGTGAAAGTTCTTTTTTTTTTATTGCTAAGGATTTCCCTTTCTCAGTTGAGTAAAATTTCCAAAGTTGGTCACTGATTGTTTTGTTATTCATGGTGAGCAAGAAACCACAGTGTCCTAATACCCAGCATGGATGTGTGTGCACATGTGGTTGTGTGTTTAAGAACAGTGTTCTTGCCCCTTAATTATCTCTAGTCCAGGTCTCAGCTCATCCCGAAGCTTAAAGGCACAGGCAATGGGGCCCAAAGTTGTTTCCAGGGCAGTCACCAGGTGAAATGAGAAGAAAGTGGAATGATGAGCTGTTTCCAGTCAAATCCAGTTTTGGGATTCTGTACATTACATTCCTCCTGGGATGTTCAAATTGTTCATTAGTCTAGTAAAAGCTCTGATAATTTTTACAGAACAGTGGTTTTTTAAAAAACTTAAAACATGAGGTTATGTCATTTAACTCAGTGATTTCCAAAATCACGCTGCCCTTCTCCTTTTGTTCCGAGGAACATCTTGTTAGTAATCCTGTGAACATGCTTTAGGAGACCAGCTCTCACAAGAGAGTGAAGGAAAGTGGGAAGTTTATCACTGGTGTGTTCCCTGTCCTAGTATTTTGCCTCAGAAAAAAAAGCAACTGCCCTCAGCACTGCCCTCGAGCCACGTCAGGCAGCCCTGGCAGGAGGACTCCACACACCTGAGCCCCTATGTTCTCATCCGTGGTCCCATTGAGTCTTGAGGGGACAGTGTGCATGGGGAAGAGGAAGGCAATGGCAGGAGGCTGAGCACCGTATTAAGTGCTTCCAAGTGGCAACTTTGACTGGTGGCCACGGAGAGGAACCACAAGAGGACCACACAACATCAGGTGTGTGTATATGAGGAGGAAATGTGCTTCTCTCTCTCAACCCAGAGCCGTCACATTTCCTCTCTTTGCACCGGAACACGCTAAGCTGCAGCCACCATGTGCACAGTTCCAAGGATTCTGCCACGTTGCCATGGAGAGGCGATGTGCATAGTGTCACCCAGACGTGTGCCTGGTGGTGGCTCCATCCACCTCGGACTCTTACACCCTCAGGGTTTTTTGCACACGCTGCTTCCCCTGTCTGAACAGGATGCTTCTGACTTATTGGGGCCGTATCTTAGGCTTCGCCTCAATGTCCCCTCTAAATCAAGCAAGTCCCCCTTTTAGTTTTTATTCAGTATCCTATTTTTATTCTCCATAGCACTCGCCACCATATACTCTCTTGAATACTGTCTCCCCCAAATAAAATAGCAACTCCATGAGGGCAAAGGTGTTGCTGTTTCAGTCACTTTTGGGTCCCTAATGTCTGAAACAGTGCATAACCCAGTATGGGCACACCTAAGTGTTTGTTGGGTGAGTGAAGAACAGCGTATCATTTTTCCTATCTGTGTAGGGAGTGGTCGCTGGGAGTTGCTGGGCATGGGCACTGACTAACAAATGGGCAGTGTGGTGGTGAAGGGCACAGTTCATAGTAAATGCTTGTGGGTGGCTGCTTAGCCCAGCCACAAGTCCGAACATGAAGTACAGAAGTACAGAGAGCAATAGAAATGAGTTTTTATTTGTAAAAAGTTACAAAATGATATTGTACAAAAATAAAGTCTGTAGAGAACTTTGGTTGTGTAACACAAACGACCAAGACAGATCAGAGAAGTCAGAACTTCCAAAGAAGTGCGCTCCTTACTGTATCTGATGATAATAATAAAGAAAAATCACAAACTTTACCCTTTTGTGGATTTTGTGGAGCAATTTGCTTCCATCAGAACCTGCTTATGATGTTTAGATGATGCTGGGAACAAGTTGTTGAGGCCCTCTGAACCCTGCAGCCCCTTTAGGCAGGGACTCTGTGGGGAGTTGGGGCTGAGGTTGAAACCTGGGAAGGTCAGCCACTACCAGGATTCTCTGAATTCTGGGTGACATCCAAACTGTGCTAGATGTCTGGGGATGTCACTGTTCTGAGCAGGAGAGGGTGACAGAAACCATTTTCCTCTATTTCCCTGTCATATGAGGGCAACAGAAAGGACAAAGAGGGACAGAACAATGGAGAACTTGGGTTTTTGGGGGCAGTGGGTGAAGAAGTCTGGTAACTGCTTCTTGGTTACTTTGCAAAACCAACGTAATTGTTTGAGGGAGGCCAGGAGGTTATAAGTGCTAAATGTGTACTACTTGTGTGGCCAATAGCCACTTAGGTAGTGATAAATTAGCTCCTGGATAAAAAGCCCTTTTATTACATGGGCCTAGTCATCACCCACAGGGTGGCTGCCACACAAATTTACATGGGGCCACAGAGGTGGCGGCTGCTCCCACCCTGTGTTTCCTCCTCCGAGTTCTTTCATCAGGGAGGCAGCCTGCTCTGGGAGTGAGGCCTTGTGTGCGTACACTATGGCCGGGCCACTTGACTCTTCCTTGTCCATCCTCCTTAGCCACCTCTTCCCAGGAAGCCTTCAGGTGAGCAGGAGCTGCAAGAGTTGACTTCAAGCAATAGCCAAGGGGCTTGTAGGGGACCAACAAGGGGCTTGTAGGGCGCCGGCTTCACCGTGCACCCGTGTTTCTCCAGAAGGTGGTGGTGGATGGCAGTGATGAAGGAAGAGACACCACAGGTCAGGGCAAAACCTTGGCTGTCTGACAGGCAGGGTCCTTCACTTTGCTTTTAGGTCAGCATTAAATCCAGGACTACCTATTACAGGAATTTTACCTTTTATA